TTAGAAGACACATCATACCATAGAGTAAGAAAATTTAATACATAATATATATTTGAAGGAGCTAAAGTTTATTGTAATTTGGGGGAGACTGTAAATGATAAACTAGCTACCGATTAAGAGTAATGGATCACACAACAGTAGTTAGTGAGTTAGTCGGGGGATCATAATAAGGGGAATATACTTACTTACTTACGCCTGTTACCCTTGATGAAGCATAGGCCACTGACCAGCGTTCTCCAACCTACTCTGACCTGAACCTTCCTTTCTAGTCTTGTCCTATTGTCCTTATTCCTATTATGTCTATCTCCGATGCCCGGCACCCTGTGTTTGTCGGTCATTCTCTTTTCCTTTGGCCTTGGGGATTATAGGTGAAGGCTTGTCTTGTGACACAGTTGGATGCTTTTCGCAATGTGTGTCTAATTCACCTCCAGCACTTCTTCCTGATTTCCTCCTCACGGGAATCTGGTTTGTTCTTTTCCACAGTAGGTTGTTTCTGATGTTGTCTGACCAATTAATCCGAAGTATTTTACGTAGACAACTGTTAATGAATACTTGTATCTTCTGGATGATGGTTTTCATAGTTCTCCATGTTTCCGCCCCATGCAGTAGAATTGTCTTGACATTTGTATTGAAAATTGTGACCTTTAATTTGGTTGATAGCTGTCTTGTATTCTAGATGTTGTTCAACTGTAAAAATGTTGTGTTTGCTTTGCCGCTCCGCGTCCATATCTGCAACGGATTCCCCTTGATTATCAGTGATACTGTACAGATATGTAAAGGTTTTTATACATCCTCCAAAGTCTTTCCATGAAGAGTGATTTGGTTGGCGCATGTTGTGTTGTATCGCAGAATCTTGTTTTTCCCTTTATGTATTAGGTGTTATTGATATTCATTAAATTTCCAGTGTACATGGTTAATGTAAAGTAACTGCACGTGAGGAAAATAATGAGAAGGTTCAGTAATAAAACGTGTAATCATTTGAAATGCTTATAACCTCCCTAGTGTATACACAATGATTTTCAATGATTTTAATGAACTTGTATTAAGTAACAAAATTAGTTCGCTAAGATTGACATATATTCAGTATGTAATGTATGTTGCTTAGATTGTAAGCATTGATAAAATTTATTGAATTAAAATGTGAACAATTTTTATTTTGAATATCTAAGCAACAAACTGTGCTAATCATTGGAAGGATACAGAGTTTGTAGGGGTTCGCAAATCTATGTGCCTTCAACAACGTGGCTATAGGCATCACCATATTCCTTCACAAACACATGCAAAGAGCAATACATAGAAAAAAATTGACCGACCACAGAACAAAAAAGTCAGTGAGTCATATCAAAATTACTTTAGCATTCTTCTTGGTAGGATTTGTAAAAATCTGTGAATGATTGAAATGTTCAATCAAGGCCACGAAATTCACATATTGATTGATTTCATTGATCGATAACTTCACGTAAATCGATGTCATCTGCATGGCATTCGTGTCAGTATGACTATAATAAGGAAGGAGACTGTTTGATTCTGTGGCTGAGAATGTAGGCAGATTTATTTCTTTACTGGCCGCTTAACCGAGTGGAAAGTGTTGTGATGAACACAGACAGTAAGAACATACAAACTACTACTAATACTACTCTTAAGTGTCTCTACTTAAGAAATGAAGGTGGATATCGTGATCGGTGTAATCGAGAGGCATGATTTAACGTATATCAGTCGTTACTTATATGGACAGTATTGTGTGTACTCTCTTCTTGACTGTGAAGGTGGTGTAAATTTTTGCTTTACTCACAAATATTAGTAAAATTAGTTTGAATATAAGATTTTCTACGGCTTATTACAGTCTGAACTGAATTCATGAAGGTAGATTGTATGCAAACCTTGGTTTTGCAAGTTGTCAGTTGATGGTTTTTTATTTAATAACAGTATTAATAATAGTAATGCTGATAAGAGTAACTACGATTTGAAGTTGAACGACCTACAGCACCTCACATTCAAATGAATGTAGTTTCATTCAATTTGGTTAAGCCCTGTTTTAGTTAATTAGTCAGAGCGTTTTCCGAAGTGCGATAATTTATCCATACCTTCTCAGTTACTTTTACCTGTTATACCCATTGGATGATAGGCCGCCTACCAGCATTCTCCAGCATTCTTTTTCCTGGACCATCCTTTTCAGTTCTATCCAACTGTTGTTCATTCTTTTTAGGTCCTTTTCCGATTCACGGAGTAATGCTCTCTTTGGCCTTGAGGATTAAAAATTAGGACTTGCTTCAAGCATCCGTTTGGTGCTGCCCGGAATGAGTGTGCTATGCGCCTCCAGTGATACATAACTGTTAATAAACTATTGTATCTTTTGGATGAATGCTTTCGTGATTCTCCAGCTTTTCGCTTCACGCAGTATAACAGATTTGATGTATTTATTGAAAATTCTGACTCTGATGTTGTTTAGCAGTTGTTTTGAGTCTTACACTTTGTTCAGTCGTAGAAATCCTGTCGTCACTTTCCTAATCCGTGCGTTCACATCAGCTCAGATCCACCTTGATCATCAATCATACTGCCCACTTATTGTGAAGGTGTTGACGTCTTCCAATGATTTGGTTGTTGCATGTTGTGTTGAATCGGATGATCTTGCTGAGATGTTGACGTCTTAATAATCCAGTCAACGTTTAGAAGAAAGAGAAAGTGTGAGAGTACGCAACCTTGTCTGACAACGGTCCTTACTTTTAACGAATCTGTTGAATGTCCTCCATGCAAGATCATATAGTTTAATCTATCTTGAAATTTCTTTTCACGTAAACCATAATGTTGAAGCTCCTTTCATAGCGTTGTCCTGTTCTGATGACCATATACAGATCTGTCCAATTGTTGGTGGGTCGAAATTAATTGCGAGGTCCGTAAGTGTTGCTTAGATGTTGAATGTGTTCAGTGTGGCTTGTCTATTCAAGGGTTCTTCCAGATGTTCAACTCACTTGTTTTGCTCTTCTTCAATGTCGGTGATTAGTTTACTTTCCTTGCTTTTCACTGGTCGTTCTGGTTTACGATATTGGCCAGCTATCGTCCTCCTTGTATCATCTTATTATTTCGTCTTTCCTTTTGTTGTAGCTTTACTGCCATCATAGCTATATCTTCTACATATATACGCTTATCAGGTCTGATGTTCCTCTCCACTGGCTTGTTTGCTTCAGTGTATTCAGATTATGCCTTAGCTATCTCTGCCCCTGTTTACCTGATATTGATTGCTCTCTTCTTGTTCACCCTTTCTTGAATTTTATCCTCGTTATGCTGCTCACCTGATCCCTTTCCAGTTATTCTCCACTCTAGTTTCCCCTTCATTTTGAATGTCGTGAAAAGCTGAGGGCTTATCGCTGTAAGCTATCTTGGATTCGTTGAGCTTGTTAGTATCTCAAGGAAGAATCGTATTAAACATTGTGGGTGCTGTTTGCACTGTTGTCCAGTGCCTCATGAGTGTCAGTTTCAGCTTGACGACCACTGGGGGATGACCTAAGCTATGTTATCTCCTCACTCGGTGCTTACATTCTCCATCGTCCGTCTGAAAGTCTTATGGATGCAGGTATGGTCGATTCTGTTCTGTGTAGTGTGATCCGATGAAATCTGTATGGTTTCTTCTACGAGTTTCTGTAGGTTGCAGTGTGGTTCTCTGCGATTAACTGCAACCTATCACAGAATTGATCCTTAGCGTCCTCATTTTTATCGTTGGTTAATCCATAGCACTGAATGATGTTCATTGTAATCACCGCATTACTTGTTTTGAAGGATACATCGATTGTTCAGGGTTCATGAGATTCTCATCCTATAAATGCGTTTTGCGCTTCTTTGAATTGCATCAGTGCGACTCCTTCTTCTGCATGATCGATGTACAACAGCATTTCTCCTGTGTTCAATGTGCTTCACCGATTCCAAGTACCATCAGGTTGTATCTTTCTATTTCCACAGCGACTTGGGTGATACTTGGTTTCCAACACTGTACAAACATTCCATATACCTACTATATAATTAATTACTCTGAATGTCACAAAAAGCATTTGCCTCGTAAATTCTGAAGAATCTTAGCTTTCATCATAAGGTGTAGTAACTCTTCCAAATGGAAACCTAAATGCTAGGGAAGAGTGTAAATGGTTTGAATAATTTTCTTTGACTGGCGTTTTTTAAGCGAGTTAATTTTCTCCGAGATGGGATGACTAACTCCATGCCCAAACTTCCTACTTTGTTCGTGCTCTTTCCAGGCAAATCTGGAAAATAATATCCTAGTTATTTAGTAATTACAAAACTCGACCCATTGTAACAATATTCCATGAAGTGAGTTTTTCAAATTACTATTCACTTCCTTCTACATCTGGATCTAACAAGCATGTCTTATTTGTTGAAGAATGTGGAAGAGGTCATCATTTTTTTGAAATATTAAGGAAATTTCTCTTTTATGTAGCACACCGGCAATACTTGTGTATTCACCGTTTCATGACTGTCTTGAGAATACAAACATTTTGATATTAACACATAACTTTTCATTCAATTTATTAGCCAATAGAAATGCAATGAATAGTCAGTTGTTGTTCTATTATTAATTGAAAGAGTGCATTCATCGAGGTGAATACTTCTCTCATTATATGAATTGAGCAATAACCATTTCTCCTAGTTTATCATGGGATAAACAGCTTGAATGTATAGGAATATCGGTATTTTCTTTTTCATCAGTGTATTCGATACTACTGACTGTGTTACTGATATGAGGATGAAAAAGAGGAGATCATGTGATGCAATGAACCAATAGAATTCACTCATTTTAATAATTCTTATGACAAAATTTGCTTATGTGTCTATCATACTTGACTAAATCCTATAAACCTCTATTAAATAGTCCACATTTCATCGAGTATTCTGGTAAATGATTGGATAATCGGTATTAGACCAAATATCGTTGTACTTAAGAGTAACAATTACGTAGACAATCAACTAAATATCTACTTTGATAACAGTACTATTATACATTTTGTAGTTTGCAAACACTTCAGATTGTATACAATTATTGTCTTTCAAATAATTGTATTTAAAGGATTTGATTTCTGTTGTGATTCTATTTTGGTAAGTTGAAAATGTTTTCTCGTAATTTAGAAAAAAATGCCTAATTTATGTATTTGTGCCATGTTTTGTTGAATAGGGCAATAAACATTTTCCCTTCTTGTGTATTTTGTTTACAAACTTGAAGTACAAACGATAGATGAATGTATGATTAAAAAATCTGTCACACAAAGCGATCTATTAGTAGATGTTACCTACCATACGTAAGTAATTTTCACTAAATAACTTGAATCATTTGATATAAAGTAAAGTAAGCTACCATAAAATAATTGTTTGTTTAAAAAGTCTCCTTTCGGTCAAATTATAATCCTAGTTTTGCAAGACATTCAGAGAAATTCGTACAAGTGTCAACGCATTATAATCAGATTGTTGAGTTTCAAAGTTTCAATGACGAATGGTTCTTAGCATGAGCGCCTCAGAGAATCAGGAATAAATGAGCTGTTGTTTTGTCCTTGTATACTAGTTATTAGTGACCATTAACGACGCCACTAATAAATGAACTCAGTGTCTCTAGCGAACTTACATGTAAATCATTGAGTCTCATTTTAAAATAAAACATGTTCAACATTTCCTTAACTTTCACAATGACCGTCGTTGTCGTTAGATGAGTTAATGGAAAGACAATTTCTGAGATACGATTTTTGTCAACGTCATTCTGTATGGGATGGGTTTACTAGTCTCAGAATCAATCCCACACCGTCATCCGAGCATGCTGTTTCCAATTAGCTTAGAAGGACACTAAAGAGAATTTTCGAGAGTACACCATTAATAAAGTATCGCAGTTTCAGTCACTGTATTTCTATAAATAATTTTTCTACTGGTTTCAAAATGAATTGTTTCCTGTACAGATTAGTTTACTATGTCATACTTCCTTCATTTTCCAATAATTCACTTCCTCATATGATAGGTCTGCATATTTGTCTGTTTCATGTTTCTTAATTAAACGTACAGTTATGAATTTTTTTCCTTAATCATTTTCATTCCAAATAATCAAAGGTTAAAATGGATTAAATTATTTCTTTTCATGTGATATATATAAACTCATTTTCGAAATTTACATAACAATTATATCAAACATTCGCAACCAATCCTATTAAGATTTGTTCAATGGTTCAATAGCTTCTTCTGATTATTTGCCATTTATTATTGATCATTTTATTCGGACACTAGTTTCAAGACATTCTCAAATGATTTTTGTTGACTGGTCAAACAAAGTAAAACAAACAAACGAATAAACAAAAGATAATTACCTTTTCTGCCTTCCACTAACTTACAAAATAATTTTCATCACTGTATAAAGCTGTTCAGAAATTTTGTGGATAAAGTATTTTAATTTTTATTATTAATGTGACGATTGAATTCAATCTTCAATGATAATTGAATTATTACTAACCAGATGAACAGTGTGAATGTATAAATCAAAAATCAATAAAAATAATACTGAAATCGACTTTGTTAATACCTAATGGTTACCAGGAATTAATATTTAGGTGAAAGGTTGTAAAAATCAACTACCATTTGAATTTGCATAGATCTGATCACGGATAAAAAGAATTATGGCGCGAGCTACTTATAAGTAGTATATGACGTGAGTGTCAACGTAATGTCTGACAGCAGAAGACGGGGGAAGATCAAGAAAGGAAGAGTTAGAACACAATGGAATTTGTATGAAACGCATGAATAGTGACAATGGATTGATGTTTTGCAACAGGAACAGTCCAGTTCCATATGATGAACTGATATTTTGCAAATGAGCGATTTACGATATGGTTTTCCAATTTTACTGAGTAACTCTGTAGTTTCCGTTAAATACAACCCGGTTGCCCTACCTGTGTTCTCGCTCACTACAGTATCAGCTGACACAACTGAAAACCGATAAACAGTGAGCATATAGATGGAAATCATAAGTCTAACATAAATATGAAATTGTGAAACTTGTTAAATATACAATTTTTGAATTTCGGTGGGCATTTTAAAAATGTTGAATTTCTCACATTGCATCTAATGCGTGTGCTGAATCGAAAAAAAGACGATCTGCAAGATCTCTCTCTGGTTTACTGCTAAACCTATATAACATTAGTCTGTTTTGGATATAACATAACTACGCTGAAAATTTAGTGGCCACTAAAAATGGAACAAATCTGCTTGTAGTTCCAGGCACAGTAATAAACAATCTTCATCTTCATCACATTCACCGGTTTGTCATAAAATGATGTCGATTTTGCAGTGATTGTTCGGCATTGTCAATAGATTGATTCCATACTGGGACGTAACAGACGTGTTCTATTTCTTTGTCCTGAAAAAGTCTGTGATAAAAATTAGGCCGAGAATCCTCTATTTAACTCCGTCTACTCATAAAATATCCTGACTTATCATGCTGATCATATTCTAAGCAAAACTTGATAACAATCATTTGTGATTATTATATTAGAAGAATCAAAATTCAACGTTGTGTCATGTTAAATCAACTAAATTATTTTTCACTACAAAATACATATATTTAATGGGTTCGTGAAGATTGGTTACTTTTTAAGCTTGTATCACAAACAGACAGTAGTAAAACAACATTGAAGAACTGGAAGTACCGAACTGCTGCTACTTCCTATGATCACAATATATCGTAGTGTACATATAATGCCTAGTCGAGGTTTAGAAGAAAAGACATTCAGGTCTTATAATGACTTCTAAACCTCCAGACTATTGAGTTGACCTCCAATGGTGTTCTCGCGACGGGAATAATAATCTGTGACAAGTGAATTTCAGTAGTGTCTAGTATAAGTTAGTTATCCAATAATGGAATATAGTCACTCAATACTGTGAACTGGTTGAAGTTATTAATGTGAGCGAACGATATGAAGATTAAGCGTTGGATATGAGGCCTAAAACGGCTGAATCGGATACGCTCGAGCGTTTATTTCATAAAAATCAAATACTAGGATGTAATAGATGTCAAATGCTTCCTGTTTTCCAAAGGTTTTTCCAGTAATGTCAGTTTTTAGTTAAATCTGTCAACTGTTTGTACAGCTAACCAGATAAGTTCACATTTAAAGATAATAATCTTAGCACATTCAAATCACCAAGTTAGATGATGTGAAATATGTAAATCAACTTATAAATTTAACAGCACTTGAAATATAATCTGAGTTCACTGTATTGTACTGGTTTTTCATATTCCGTATATAATTTATGTTCATTGAATAAACAACTATTGCACCCTATTTATCTATACTTGTTATTACTGATTGAAAGTAATACTCACACAGAATGTATACTAACTACTATTGAAGCGTAAGTCAAGCTATATTGGACTGTTATTTCGTTCTGGCTTATAAGTCTTCAGCGATGCGTACTTGATATCCTAATCAAAACGTTGAATGATAAATGCAGTAAAGGAGAGTTTACAGCCCAACGTGTTGTCTTCAAACTTTTGGGAACTGCTAACGCTAATGAAGATGAAACGTCCGTCACCTTTGGTCTCAGTTAAAGATGATACTTTCTGCACTAGTTAGGGAGTGAGTACCGTCTTGTAGGAGGACTGTGTCGCTGACACTGATTGGAGATTTCATAGTATCCATTGTGGAATTTATAAAGTCATTTATTGTCTCTGACAACTTGATAATTACGAGTAGGAGGGAATGGGATTAAAGAGGTTACGTCAGTGGTTTAGCCTCTAACTTTTCAAAAATATATGATGAATTACTTTCAGTTATTTCTAATAGTATTGTTTCAGACAGATACATTCACAAACAACATGCGTTTGTTGAATGTCATACATAAATAATTTACAAAATATTATCTCATCGTCATTATATTAAGGTTATTAGCGTCATTGTGAGCTGGAGTAAGGAAATTCAGTTAACTGAGTAAACTAGTGTAAAGTGGTCGGACGATGTAGTCGGGAGAAAACTGTGGACTTCCATCACATTTAAGTTGATACCTGTTAGGAAAGTATATCTGTAACATTAAAGGAAATGGTTCTCCTTGTGAAATTAAATCTGTGCCACTCATGTTTGCAAAATAGCATAAAGCCTAGGTTCAGGATTTTCTTCAGACCATCTGCAACCATATAATATAAAAACACAGTGAATACGGTGTTGAAATGCGTTGAAGAAGGACTTAATTCCCATTCGATTGACAGAATTCTATCAAGATCAAAAGACTGGACAAATATAACATAGGTCAATGAAGCTCTGTAAACTGTGCATTAAGGGAATAGACAATTGGTCTTTAGACAGATTCGTTTCTGTTCATCAATCGACAATATATAAAATTTATTTATTTCAGAGTTGAATCTGATTGTTTGAAGATTTGTAGAATGATTAATGAATAACTTGAAGATACATGTTGAATACGTTGCTGAAATCCATAGCTAAATGTATAAATCTTTGTCGTTCGAAGTGAATAGTACTGGGTTCGAGTCTTGCAGTGAACACAAACCATCTGACGAGTCCCATTTCAAATCTCACTGATAATCAGATTTCATTTATTCTATATAAATGTTCAATTCATTTGAATTTTATTACTCAACTATTTAAATATGAAATAGTTTCAACTTCCTAAATAGTAGTATTTATTTAATCGAATAACATTTACAGATCAAGACTAGAACAGCTATCCAGTATTTCTGAATTTTCATTGGTTGTTTAACTAAGATCACTGAGTGATTGTTAGAATATTTGTCCAATATTCTAAGAGAATTATTTGTAAGTCTAGTCTTATTGGTCAATTCCTGTTGGTTAAATCCTACTTGTCAATATTATGGTCTTCCTAACTGTCACAGTCACATACTTCAATGTAAGTTCCTATTCGACCTAACTGTATAAATACGCATTATCTGTAACGTTTTATGACCCGCACCCGGACTCGGATCCCTAGTCTAGGATCCTGATTCTCTTCTGGACTCGGACCTCGTACTTTCTGGATGCTTGTAGAATACATGTCCTACTTCATATCAAGTCTTCTTCTTTTAATCAATGGGGGGTGTTGGGGACAGTCGCATTAGGTTAGTCTGTTGTATCGCTCTCGTTTTCCGACTAAGGTAAACTCTTAATAGCTAAAACATATCAAATAACGTGTTTACTTGTATTCGTAACAATCATGTACACTAGTAAATTCAACAATCATAACAAACCTTCCGTATGAATCATTTATTTCTGCTTTACATTACACAGAGTTATTGACAATTGTAATCAAATACTGAAATGAGAATAGAACAGAAAACAATTTCATGGGCTTTAATTGAATTTGTGATGTTCTGTTGTAATAATTATCAGTGAAAGAGTAAACTCTTGGTTCTAAGTTTTTATTCACTCATGAAAATGCTAATCAATTCAAAAAATATGAGTGAGAAAGCCGATGATGGATATAGTTTATTGTCTTATTTCAAAGTTTTTCCTGGATATGCAGATAATCGACGATTAAAAGTAACATGGGATTGGAGTTCAATGGAAATAGCACAAAATCTACTTCAACAAGCAAAAGTAAGTTAGTCTTTTTTGTGTGTAATGTTTGTTTGGATACATGTTTTGTTATCGTGATATATGTGATACGATTTATAAACAGAAAATAGATTAGATGAGATTATGTTTACCAATCTAGCCAAAAAATTGAGCATTTACTAATTACTTAAAACAATAATTCCTCAATTTTATGGTCTACGATTTACATTGAGAAAACGTACAGTAGTTGGATGGTTAGGGAAAATCATTAACTCCACAATGACTGTTTCATTCTAGTATGTAAAACTTTGCAACAGAGAGTATCCATAACCACATTAGGAATCAGATCCGAGATCTTCAAGTCTCTGAGCGATTGCTCAACTTTTAGACCATTAAAGCACCATCTCAATAGCTAGATTTTGTGATTGTTGATATTGAACGGTATCCTGTAAGTTCATTTCTATATGCAAACTACATGTATAAACAATACTCGAACATCTTGAAAATAGAACTAAGATTCTGTTGCGGACATTAGGTCTCCAGGACTCACTTGATAGAGGCCTTAATTTTGGATTTTATTCATGGGCTGATCAGTTGACTTTCAGATCACATTTCCCACCAGGAAAATCTTCAGTTGTGATTAATTGATGTATTATTTTAGTGTGCTATTTTTGTGACTCTCCCAAGGACGTTTCTATGATGTAGAAATAAACGCGATTTGTGTGCTTGACATCATTGTTTTTGCTGAGTGTTTGTAGAATACACTTTCCACCCTATATCAAGACTTTCCTCTTGAGTTAGTTGGGGCAACGGATCAGAGTAGCCTAACGTGTCACTGGTTCATTGTCTCGTTCTTGTTTATCGACTAAGGTGAACTCTTAATAATTTCAAGCATATCAAGTGACGAGCATAACAGATTATCAGAAAAAAATATATCATGATTGATAGTAGATTGTAAAAATATTGATTTATGCACTGAGTTGCATGACGCGGAAATTATTGAAATATAGTTCCAAACATAGCAATAATATTTTGTTGATCAGCATATAAGATAGCGTTACAAAAACTAATCGATGATCGTTGAATGATGCAGAATCCACTTCGGTGTCGGTGTTCACATTGTTATACTCGAACGAAGTACGTTTCACTTCAAGCATCGTGCTCGTTGTTTATGAGTCCAATAAACTACTACTGTGGTGTGTGCTACTTTTACGAACGATATAAGTAGTATAAGAAGGAACGTGAAAGAAGTCTCACGGTCAGAAGAGGAAAACAGAAAGCAAATCGAGCAAAAGCAAGAAGTAAATGGAGTACCAACAGGAAGGAAAGGAAACAACAACAGGAATGGAAGAAGGATGGAGCGTTGGAAGTCACGACTCAAAGATGGTGTGCAAATAGATTGTTCAATGTAATGTTTTCGTTTTTAATTGACTAAGAGTGTTTTCGAAAGTAATAATATTTTGTTTTAATTACAAGAAGAAAGCTTTCTTTGCCTTACTGTCCACATTTTTATCCTTTTATTTATTAGATTTTATATTATAATGATTTGGATGTTGATCTATTCGGTCAAGAAATTATACAAAATTATCAAATTAAAGAATTCGATTTAACCAATCTTCATCCAGATACCAAATACTTAATATGTTTTCGTGTAACACGTAAACGATTTGTTGACTCTTCAATGCTTTCATCAACTAATCAGAGTAATAATGACACAGCAATGATATCAACATCAACAATTAAATCATCTCTGCATCAGTGGAATAAGACACTTATCATGTCCAATGATTTACAACATATTTTACATAAACAAAAAACCAGCAGTCCAATCAATACATATCCACATGTTGCCTTTTTAAATCAAACCCATACATTACAATCATCAGTGAACAGTGCAAAATTATTTAATGAATATGTTGCTGAAATGCAATGTCAAATAACATTAACTCGATTTTTACATTGGACAGCAATTTTATGTAGTTTAATTGGTATTATTGTAGCATTACTTTTATCTATTACAATAATTTGTATTTTGAAATCACGTACTTATCAAATAAAACAACGTCAGTTGAAAATGTGTTTTAATCGAAAAACTCAATTATCACTAGTTGGACATGGAAAATTCAATGAAATTCATACGGATGATGATGTTGACGAAAATAATTTGACAAATTCTACTAAACTAGTTGATGCCTGTCATCATCCACTTCAACAGCATCATCAACAACGTCATCATCATCATCATCTTCATCATCATCATCATCACCTTCACCACCATCCACATTCACATCATCAACATCAACATCATCATCATCACTATCATGCTCATCACCCTCATCCTCACCATCATCACCATCATCATCATTTCTCTCTTCAAAATGTTCTAAACACACATATTCGTTATGATTGTCATTCAAAGAGAACAACAATTAGAAAATCAGAAAGTGGCAAAGATCAGATCAACAGATCAATGTCATCTTCACCATCAACAACCATAACTAAAACACCAACCATTTATTGTAAACCATCATTGGATAAATTAGAAATAATCAAAGATGCAACTGTTAAAGTCAATAAGCCATCAGATATTAAAAAGAACAATGAATTGATGTGTCCATCGAATCAACAATTAATTAATGAATGGGAGAATACATTGAAAATAATTGAAACCAATCAAACAATCATGAATAATGATATTAGTTTAAATCAGACACGAAAATCATCTAATACCAATCATACTACTAACATAATCAATGACATTCATGACAGTAAAGTAATGGAAAATGAAACGAGTGTTTCTTATAAAGATGTCAATACTACTACTACTACTACTACTACTACCACTACAAATGATAGTACTACTAATAATAATTCAGTAACATATCACTATAATAACTCAATTGATAATAGTAATAATAATAATAATAATAATAGCAATATTTGTATTAAAGTTCACCAGGGTAATAATAATAATAATAATGATAATAGTAATCAACTATCGGATTCACAAAATGATGATAATTTTAATAAACCAATTGGTATTACAATGACAGAATCTGGTCTTATGCATTGTAGACATCATGTAGCAGAGAATGCACAATCGGATGTTTATA